CATTCTCCAATCAGTTCAATCTCAATTTCAAAGGCCCAAAAAAATAAAAATAAAAAATAAAAAAGTTTCAATCACATGATGTTTCTTCTTCACTCGTCTTCATCCATTCGCGGTCCCTCCGTTCTTCAGTCTCTGTTTGAATCGAAGTCTGAATCGTGACTTTGTCCTTCTTTCTCTTCGTTCTTCTTCGGCAGATCAGCGTAGTTTTGTCGGGGCCGCCATTTCTGATGAAGTTTCTGAAATGGCCGTGGGTCGGTCTCAATTGGATGCTGAAGTAATTAATTATGAAATCTTAGGAGGTCTGGGTTCAATTGAATTTTGAAGGTGTTGCTCTGTCCTTCAACCTTTGTCCATCATGTATCTTTTTAATTTTCTGAGATTGGAAATTGTTTTTCAAATTGTGGTTTTGTATGTGATTGAAATTGCAATATGTTTCTGTGGTTTTTCTTGATTTTGTGAACTAGACGTTAAAGAAGCGAAGCTGAAGAGTGGAGCTCAAAATTAACTTCAACCCCAAGGTATATTATCTCTACAAAACCTTATTAAAAACTATATCAAGAATTCTGCAGGTGTCTAATAGGAGCATTACTCATCTCAAATTTTCTAAATTGGTTGTGGTGAGTGGTGTAATCTTTATTGAATAGTGCAGTCAAACATAAACTTACACGAGTTCAACAATTTAGGTGAAACACAGCCCTAACACATTTATTCACCTAACATGTAACTAGGAATATCTAGAAGAAAGCCTCACAAGATCAACATCACCCCATGAATCCAAAGAACCAACAATATTGACCACACTCCTTTATCAACTGATCATGGGGCTTTGGTAGGTTTAAATTAAGCCGATAAATAGAGATTGACTGGAGGATAAGGAACTTCAACGGTTCCTTCTAGCATCTGTGAGACTCTCTTCATGGTGGGTCTCAGCAATGGGTCATCTTGAATGCACCAGATGGCAATCATTACAAACTTCTCTACCCTATTAATATCCTCCATTGCCCCTTCATCCTCCTGAACTAGAAGATGCAGTTTCCCTTCTTCAAAGCAATCATATGCCCAATCAGCTAATACCTTTTGCTTTTCATCCTCTAAATCTTGCTCAACTTTCCTCCTACAACAAATGAGCTCTAGCAGCAGAATTCCAAAGCTGTAGACGTCAACCTTGACCGCTACAGGCTTCTTTCCAATCAACCATTCAGGTGCAACATATCCTCTTGTTCCCCTAACTTCTGTAAGAGTTCGTGTTTGATCTTTATCCAAAAGTTTTGCTAATCCAAAGTCCGAAATTCTTGGTGTTAAGGAATCATCCAGTAGGATATTTTGAGGCTTGATGTCACAATGTATGATCTGGTTGCTGCACTCTTCATGCAAATAAGCAAGCCCTCTTGCAGTTCCAAAAGCAATTTCAGTTCTCCTGTACCAGCTAGGCCTTGGATTCCTTAAAAGATAAGATGCTAAAGATCCATATTGCTCATGTATTCATACACCAAAAGCCGATGTTGTCCCTCATTGCAGAATCCTAGCAACCGCACAAGATTCTTGTGGTTTGTGTTCCCAATTGCACTCATTTCTGCTTGAAATTCCTTCTCGGTGCAGTCTTTCTCCATCTTGCCCAATCTTTTAACGGCAATCAACTTCTTATTTCCAGTATCTAAAATTCCTTTGTAAACTGTCGAACAAGCTCCCTCTCCAAGTTCTTCTTCAAATTGATTGGTAGCTTCCTCCAGCTCCTTATAGGCGAAGCTTTGTAGACTCATCATGTCTTGGGTTGCTGTGGAAGGCTGAGGCATCCTTCTTTTTTCAATCCACTGAACAAGGTTCAAAGCTACTAAGCTAATTACAAGTATAGTTAGGATAAGAATCTGTGTTAACTTATGCAACTTACGCATCTTTGAACCAACCGTTGGCGTAAAATTGTCTTTTCTTATTTTGATCAATGTTTTGACTGCACCAGCTTGACCATCTTGCAATCCTTTTGAGAGAGGAAATTTCTTCTTCCAACAGCCACCATCAG